AACCCTAAACCCTAAACCCTAAACCCTAAACCCTAAACCCTAAACCCTCGCTGACCGAGCAAATGGTGAGTCTCCACAGTCCCGGGGCCTCTCCACAATCGTCTTCATTAAAAACCCAAATCACTCCAAGAATAAACCCCAACCCCTAGCCCCTAAACCTAACCCTAAACCCTAAACCCTAAACCCTAAACCCTAAACCCTAAACCCTAAACCCTCGCTGACCGAGCAAATGGTGAGTCTCCACAGTGGGCCCCGGAGAGGTGTATCGTCTTCATTAAAAACCCAAATCACTCCAAGAATAAACCACCCGTAAGACAAAATGCTGAGGGTTTTGGAAAAGGCCCATCCCACGCCGCTGGTCATTCGCTCCATCCTACGCCGCAAACCCCAAAAAAGGGTTTAGGGTTTAGGGTTTAGGGTTTAGGGTTTGGGGCGCAACGCCTGCGCTGGGAGCCCCAGCGGCCACAGACAACCCCAGCCGCAGAAGTCCAGCCGCAGCGGAATCCCTATAGCCGCGCACACTAGGGTTTAGGGTTTAGGGTTTAGGGTTTAGGGTTTAGGGTTTACATGTCGATTATCTCGCGCCGGCCCCCGCGGCAAGTGCAAAGGTGGCAAAAAAATAAATAGCGAACTGGCAGCTGCGGGATCTGGAGAGCTGTAAATATTGCATTCCACCTAAACCACAAACCCTAAACCCTAAACCCTAAACCCTAAACCCTAAACCCTTCAAGCCCATCCCCGACAACGCGCACCAAAGCCCCTAAACGGCAAACCCTAAACCCTAAACCCTCAACGTGATCTATCTGAAAAGGCGCAGGGCTGCGCAAAGACTCGTATGGCCGAAGGCTTTGGGGCTTCCAAACTGGATGTTAGGGTTTAGGGTTTAGGGTTTAGGGTTTAGGGTTTAGGGTTTACGAACCACTGCAAGGGTTTGTTGCAGTCGCAGCTGCTCCAATTAAAAGAAAGGTAGAAAATTGTGGGCGCGGAAATGCAGATCCCAGAAATAGTGCCAAAGAGCATAACCACCCTAAACCCGCACAAACCCTAAACCCTAGACCCTAAACCCTAAACCCTAAACCCTAAACCCTAAACCCTAAACCCCAATCTGTTGCTCAGCCAGGAGACTGGCTGCTGTCGAGCAGGGAACTCGCTAGGGTTTGAGGCCCTGCACTCCTAGGGTTTAGGCTCTAGCGTCCAGGGTTTGGGCTTCCCAGTCTAGGGTTTAGGGCTTAGGGTTTAGGGCTTAGGATTTAGGGTTTAGGGTTTAGGGTTTAGGGTTTACTTGATGAACATCAACGCCTGCTGCGGGCTCTGGTCCACCACTTCCATAATTGCGTCTCTTACGGGGGCCTCTGGGACTTCAGGCCCCAGAAGAAACTCCTCCAAACCCTAAACCACAAACCCTAAACCCTAAACCCTAAACCCTAAACCCTAAACCCTGAAGCCCAGGGCCCCACGCCTACGAGCGCGGCAGCGGCTTTTTCGAGAGCCGCAAAACCACAAACCCTAAACCCTAAACCCTGGGACCTGGGCTGCACAGCCCCAACCTTAAACCCTAAACCCTAAACCCTAAACCCTCAGTCCGACCTTATTGAGGCTCAAGTAGCTGCATGCAAATGCAACACACGCTAGGGTTTAGGGTTTAGGGTTTAGGGTTTGCTTACTGAGTACGCCCTCCCCACTTCATGGCCAATGGACCGGAGAACCCCCACCGCACGACCCGCCATTTTGCTGCTGCTGCTGCTGCTGCAGTTGCTGCCGCTGCTGCTGCTGCTGCTGCTGGGGTTGCTGCTGCTGCTGCTGCTGCAGTTGCTGCTGCTGCTGCTGCTGCTACGCTTCTGCTGCTGCTCCTGCTATTCCTGCTGCCGAGGCTACAACTGGAGGTGCTTCTGCTGCTGCTGCCGGTGTAGCTGCTACTCGAGTCGGTGCAGGTGCAGCAGCAGCAGCAGCTGCTGCTGCTGCTAGTGCTGTTGCTGCTGCTGCTGCAACACCTGTTGCAGCAGCAGCAGCAGCGACAGCCACGGCTGCTGCTGCTCCCGGAGCAAGTTCTTGCTGCTGCCGGCGCCGTCCAACTCCGTCAACACTTCCGTCAAATCACTTCCCGCTGCTGCTGCTGCTGCTGCTGCTGCTGCTGCTGCTGCTGCTGCAGGGTTGGCGGGATGCAGCTCTTCGGCTAGCTTTTCGCGGCGTAGCCCCTAAACCCTAAACCCTAAACCCTAAACCCTAAACCCTTGACCCTGGTGCGGCAGAGGGGAACAAGTGTGCGTGCAAAACGCGCAGCAGAATCTGCTGCAGCAAATGAAAAATGAGAAAATAAAATAAATTAAATCAAAATAATAAATAAAGACACAAAAACAAATTAAATTAAAACACTTTCCACAAAAGTTCGAGGGTTTAGAGAATAGGCAGCAGAGGCAACTGCTGCTCTCCCTGCAGAGGCTGGGGGTGTCGGACACTGCAGCAGCAGCAGCAGCAGCAGCAACAGCAGCAGCAGCAGAAGCAGCAGCAGCAAAAGCAGCAACGGCAGCAGCAGCAGGAGTAGCGACAGAGGCAGAAGCAGCAGCAGCAAAAGCAGCAACGGCAGCAGCAGCAGGAGTAGCGACAGAGGCAGTAGCAGCAGCAGGAGTAGCAACAGGAGCAGCAGCAGCAACAGCAGCAGGGGAAGCAGCTTCAGCGCGGGAGGCAACGGAAGCAGCAGCAGCAGCAGCAGCAGCAGCAGCAGCAGCAGCAGCAAGAGAAAAGGCAGCAGCACAATCAGCTGCAAGAGCACGAGAAAAACAAGAGGAGAAAAAGCAGCAGCGGCAGCTGCAGCAGCAGTAACAGCTAGCTACAGCTAGCCACAGCTAGCTGCAGCTGGCTACAGCTACACGCAGCTAGCTGCAGCTAGCTACAGCTACAGCTAGCTGTAGCTAGCCACGGCCTTGTCCGTAGGTGCATGCATTTGCCTTTCTTTATTTTGCAGCTAGCTGCAGCTAGCTATGGCTAGCCACAGCTAGCTGGAGCTAGCTGTGGCTAGCCGCAGCTAGCTGTGGCTAGCTGGAGCTAGCTGTGGCTAGCCGCAGCTAGCTGTGGCTAGCTGCAGCTAGCCACAGTCAGTTGCAGTCAATTGCAGCTAGCTGCAGCTAGCCACAGTCAGTTGCAGTCAATTGCAGCTAGCTGCAGCTAGCTGCTAAGCGCAACTGACTGCAGCTAGCTGCAGCTAGCTGCAGCTAAGTGCAGCTAGCTGCAGCTAAGTGTAGCTAGTTGCAGCTAAGTGCAGCTAGCTGCAGCTAGCTGCAGCTAGCCACAGTTAAGTGCAGCTAGCTGCAGCAAGCTAGCACTAAGCAGGCAGCAACTTCTGCTGCTGCCTTTGCCCCCCCAGCCCCCCAATTTGCCTTACGGGGGGCCCCCCATTTTCTCAGTCAAATGGGGGGCCCCCTGAACCCCTAAACCCTTATTAAGGGGCCCCCTAAACCCCAAACTTGGGGGCCCCTAAACCCGAACTTGGGGGCCCCTAAACCCTCTAATTTGTTCAACTGGGGGCCCCCTAAACCCTCGGACTTCTTTATCTTGGGGCCCCCTAAACCCTCTAATTTATTTGTCTTGGGGCCCCCTAAACCCCCTAATGCCTCCTCTATTTGGGGCCCCCTAAACCCTCTAGTGTGGGGCCCCCCACTTAGCGCATTTGGTCTTTGCTGCTGCTGCTGCTGCTGCTGCTGCTGCTGCTGCTGCTGCTGAAGGAACAGCAAGGAGTCGGAAAGAAGATTAAATGATTTGGGCTGCCAAAAGAACGCGAAAGGCGTTGGGCCCGCAGATGTCTGAGGTGTACGTACACCTCGGGGTGTATGGGCAGGTTGCGGTGTACGTACACCCGGTGGCTGTGAGCGCCTGGGCTGCAGCCTCGCCTCGTCTTTGTTTTGCGTTGAGCTGCTGACTTTGTGGATTTAAATAAATAAATATAATTAATTAAATTGAATTAATTCAAAATAAATGCCATTTCTCCGCTGTTTCCTCTTCCCTGCTGCTGCAGGTCCCACCCAGCACCCGCTGTAGTAACTCGGTGCAACTGCTGCTCCTTTCTTCGCATTGCTCAGTTTTTTCCCCCCTTTTGTTTATTTTTGTTCATTTTAATTCATTTTAATTCATTTTATTTCATTTTAATTCATTTTAATTCATTTTATTTCGTTTTATTTCGTTTTATATTGCACTTTCCTCCCCCAATTTTATTGTTTTGAGCCCCCGGCCTCACTCAACTCGCAGCCCCACGCACTTTGTGCGTCAAGAAATAAGAAAGTTCCTGGGCAAGCATTTCCGCCTCCAAAATGGGTTTATCTGCATTTCAAAAACAAAAGAATTTATTTTGTTTTGAATTTGTTTTACTTATTTACTTGAATTTGTTTTTATTTAGTTCAATTATTCTTTAATTAATTCAAAATTAATTCAAAATTAATTCAAAATTAATTCAAAATTGATTCAAAATTGATTTAAAATTAATTCAGAAGTAATCCAAAATTCATCTATAATTAATGCAAAACAAAAGAAATCCAACATTAATTCAAAACAAATTCAAAACAAATTCAAAATAAACTCAAAAGCATTTAAAAAGCATTATATCGACACAAGGCAAAAGAAAACCCTAAATGAGAGGATAGAACGAAAGAACAAAAAAACTGCTTTAAAAGTCCTCAAACAGAAATTAATTTCATTTCCAATCAAAACCCAAAAGTGCCAATTAAACATTCATCGCAACCCCAAACAGCTCCAAAAACAAACCAAGCTGCTGCAGCAGCAGCAGCAGCAGCAGCAGCAGCAGCAGCTCCTTGCGCCCACCCCCTACCCCTCACCCCCCCCAGGGG